AAGAAATCGTCGGACAGTACACTGTAACCTGTCTCAAACCTAAAAAATTCACTTCGGAAATAAATTCGGCTCACAGCCTTGAAGAGAACTGTGGTTTGGGTATTAAAGCCGGCAAACTTCCGAACATCTGAATTGTGGCACTACGGAATTCGTACTATAAAATTTCGCAAAACAATTCAGACAATTCATGAATGGTTTACACAAGTTTCATATCTTATTATACAAACAAAAGCACATCAGATCGCCCGCGAGCTCAAAGGGGGAATGTATTTAGTTAATCGACTGAAGGGTTAAATTCCGGTTTGATTTCATCGTATTTGCCAACGCACGCAAAGAACGCATTTCAATTTTTAAGCTCAATTCGTTGGTCATTGACCTTGGCGAAATCTGTCATTTCAAAAAGGGCGGGGAAGCTCAATAGAATGAGATCCATTCATCACCCAGCAAGTTGAGGCAAATATAGAATAAAGCAGTCTAAACCGTTGATGAAATTGCCTGGTATGCCATGACGTCAGAAGGTAATTAATTTCAACAAGGCCACAGTCAGAACAGACGACGTCGCAAGGTGGGTCTATCACGACAAAAAACTGGATTGACCGAAACTGGAGTCACTGATCGAACAACAAAACTGGATAGTTAGTCCACGGCAGCTATTCGACGTGACCGCTAGAGAATCCAATTCTGACCACGAGGAAATATCATTCGTGCTATCTATAATCTGACACTTCAGGGAACATAGCAAGAGCTTCCTTGTCTTGAGTGGGATTCAGATTCGTATCTTAGGATATCTAAACCACCTCTCCACCAATCGAGGCCTATTAGTGAGGCCTTTCGACAACTATAGGTCTAGCAGAGACCTGATCCAATTTCATTAAAAGTGTTAGAAATATTTCCCTGACGAATTACTTGGCCAATAAGTTGATGTTTTATTTCGATTTCGCGATGCCATCCTAAGAGATATAAAGAGACGGAAATATTTTTCTGATACTAGAGAGAGCGAAGAAAAATTCATTGTCTTGAATAGGTTTAAACTAACACCTACACATTTCTTGGGAAAATACCACGAAAATACTGCAAACCTTCTACGTGACAGCCCTCACGAAAATCTTTTATGCGCATCTTTCAAATACTAAGTGTGTTTTGGTATAATTTAGTTGCGGCTGATAATTAGGTGAATATTTGCAATGAATTCTAATACACCTTACAACAACAGAAGAAAAGATTATTTGCATTACACAAACAACTTCTCAGCCTCGACAGGAGATATTCTATCATATTTATGACTAATGCTTCATAATAATCTACCTGATGAAATTAAAAATCCAGTGCCCATGACTAATTTTAAGACACTTATACAAACACACCCCTGTTAATTGAATAAGCACGTATTTGTATAATTCTATTGCCAACTATTTTTTACTCATTTTGGTATAATTGATTTAATTTCATGATACAATCCATTATTTTGCTTGTTTCCTGTTGATGTAAACTGACATATTTCATCATTTTCATTCAGTCTTTTTTTGTACTGAATAGTATATTCAGGTATGTTGAGTCCCTGTGAATCCCAGTCAGACTGAGTCAGTCAGGGCTGAATGGACTAATTTGCTAATATAAAGTAGGTATTTACCGTCTCACATAATATAAAGTGACTATAATTGATTACCAGTTACTAAACTAAAGTAAACTTTTTATCAGTCCCAGTTGACCACAGACCACCTGCCTACTCCGACATGCGAGTTCAAATCCAACAGCCGAGCCTGTTTAAAGGAAGGCAGACCGGAACGTGATACGATATTTCACACCCCACTAGTAGTTTTATCCGACAATTTTTTGTGCGAGAAAAAGTAGGGAGCTGTGTTCTCGGCTGCCCTCCCCCCCTGCTGATCTGAGGTCCATGTAGTTACTGTTGGACGATGCCATTACTGATCCAATATATGCAAAATGAAAAAAAAAATCATAGAAAAATTCATCCAATTAGACCAATCAGTTATTCAATTCAAAATTCAATTCGTTTTCAAAGATGTTCCGTCTCTTTGCAAACGAATGATGTCTTGATGAGTCAAGTTCAGTAAACATCTTATCATCAGTCTCTGCTCACAGATAAACCAATTTAAGGTACTTCCGTCAATATATGGTTTACTTCAATGAATAATTCTAATAATCTCATTAAACTGAAGACCTCCTTAAAATTTGGCCTGTGAGAATATCCCAGAAAGTGTGCATCTCTCGATCAGCAATTTCGCGCTCCAATATTGGATTAGATGTGGACCATTATAAGAATAGGTTTTCCGCTAGGAAAATCATTCGCTGACACGATGACGCAAGTCAGGAAAGTTCTTTGGAATTCTTCATTCGAAACCTTGCTGCACCTTGACAGATGTACTGACCTACAATTTGACTTATTTCAGCACGGGTGGGAGATGTCAGTGATAACCTGTACCATAAATTCCTAAACACGGTCTAAACATTTTATACCCTTACAGTAACGTAGATAGAATTGGCAGAGGGATCGAAGCTCCGTCCGGCCTGCACGGCACGGTCCGGTGTCAAAACAAAGATCGAGCACCAACGAAATTAGTACGGATACCTATTTTAGGCTTTTAGCCCGGTTATGCCAATAAATTGAGCGTAGTGGAAACTGGACTATGGTTGGCGTCAATCGAGGATATCTTTTGAGATTTTAAATTAATCAGGAATCCTAGGAAACAGATGTCTACTCCGTCAAACCCTGTCTGCCCCAACTCCCCATCTCGAAAATCCCAACTTCCCATACTTCCTATACTAAAAAACTTTTTATTCTAAATAAAGTTATTTTGTTTTCTACGCACTTTTCAACTTCCCATTTCCCTTCTTCATGCCTGACTTTTGTTGGAACTGGTTTTGCCGCTTTTGAACCGGTCAACCCCCCCCCCCCCTCTTTATATGTGCCTTGCGCCGATACAAAAACACTGTAACACGTATTTTTATGAGTAAATAACCTTTTTTATGAGTACGACCTTGACGTACTATTTCAATTGAACTTGGGAAAAGTAATTTTATATTATGAGGACATCCTGCCAAGGTCGAGTGACAATATTTACATCCAAACTACGTCATATTTTTGCTACGTGCCAATTGTATGAAATGGACTTCCGACATCCTGGGCAGTGGAAACCAAGGTACGCGATCCTTCTACACCATCTGGAGAGGAAAGTGAACGGCCTTCGGGAACTTCTGCGTGACGATGTATTGGCTCACAAAAAATGTTTTGATTGGCCAATACGGCTAATTACCCACACATGACTTTGATCGCAAATACGTCACAGCCCAAACTTTTATACATAGGTTTATACTGGTTTATATTATCACTTCGATATGCTACTGTTGTGTTTCAAGCCACTTTTATTAAGTCCACTGTCTAAGCCCACATACTAAGAACACGTCTCTTTATGGCTTTAATCGGGTGTATTAGACTGATGTATTGATTTAATATTTAAGGAAGTCTTACACGATGCAAATTTTCAAGCAACTTGTAATGCATTCAACTTTTGAATGTAATGCAATTCTACTTTTGAATTCAACTTTAGAGTTTTCAAAATGTATGTATAAGAATTGAGAAAACATCCGTGGAGTGTCGTAAACACAAACGTTTCGTAGTGGTCAAATTAATTGATTAAATTGCTAGTGGGAAGAAAAATTTTATCATGTAACATGACCCTACGTTGTAACTCTTACAGCCTGGAATCTTCCGCACCATTGACAACTTGCTCTTGACTTGTTCATATGTAGACAGTTATATTAACTATTAAATATTATATAAACTGCAATAATAATATATTTCTTGTTAAACATAGATTTTAGTCGATACTGCCTTACATTTCCAGAGGAAAGATAAACATATAATTAATCCTTCCATTAAAAATTGTCTTTCTGAGGATCCTAATCATAAATACTTGTGTTTCAGAAAAAAGTCATTCATGTATTTACCCGTAAACCAAAGAGCCGTTGAAGGAGGAAAAAATATGGTGTTATTTCCAATGGTATGCAAGGATATGGTATTGTGCAATAAGGTATGGTATCGGTAGCATTGTGTGTCTTTGTGGTACGGTTTCCAAAAGTATGCAATGATATGGTATAATGTTGTGATAATGTTGTGAGAAATTGTATCGGAACGTAAGGTATTGTTTGCTATATATTGTATGACATGGTATGGTTCGGTACGGTTCGGTACGGTTCTGTATGGTAGGGTATTGTTACTATGGTATGGTATCTGTATGGTAGGGTATGGTTACTATGGTATGGTATGGTGTGGTATGGTATGGTGTGGTATGGTGTGGTGTGGTATGATATGGTATGGTATGGTATGGTATGGTATGGTATGGTATGGTATGGTATGGTGTGGTGTGGTGTGGTATGGTGTGTGGGTGTGGTGTGGTGTGGTGTGGTGTGGTGTGGTGTGGTATGGTTTGGTATGGTAAGGTATGAAAAGGCTTTTTTGTCTAAGGTATTGTTTCATGTTATTGAAACACGGTATCTAAGGAAGGTTTAATTGATGCCGTGTATGAATGCTCGAGATTCAAGAGCTTCTGAATATTTCACTCCTCAGAGGCTTTAAACCCAGACGACTTCCGGCAAAAAAGACTTAGATTGACGCAATTCCGCATGCTAAACTCATCCCAAACTTCAATATTAAAATAACTGTTCATTATCAGTGCTGTCTGATCAAACACTACGTGACTTGTCATGTAGGAGTGGTGAGCAAGTTTCCAGCCCGGTTCCCAGTTCCGAAGATAATCATATCACACTCGCAGTCAACATTTTTTCGACTACAAAAGCCTAAATGGAAACCTAAATACGAAACTATCACGTTCGGTAAAAGCATTGCGTTTTCAAATTTCAATTGCAGAAAGCTTTCGTGTTAATTTTTTAAATTTTTTTGTAACCGGATGTTCCTGACGTTTCCTGCGGATAGAGTCCAGATTTTAGTGCGGACTCCCAGATATATAATACAATACCTTCACGCTGTTTACATTACTCTGGTATTCAAAACGGCAGGTAGGCATTGCTGTGTGGGAAGTTGATCACGCAAGATCTGAAGTTGAATTTCGAATCTTATATCTGTTGGATTTGCGGATTTTATATCAGGAAGTTTAGCTGCTCAAAATCCCAACAATCGACATATACGGGTGAGTTCTAACGTTCAACGTTCTATGAGTAAATAGTACGAAGTCTGTATCCCTTATACATTATTTCACCCTAAAAAGCATCGATCTATTCATTCGTTGTATTTGATTGCACAGCGATCGCTTTTGCGACATTTTATTCCCTCAGCTATTTCTGTCGGAGAATATGTTCCAAAGTTCATATGTATTATATGTAATATGATATCCGTCTCTTATAAACACAAGTACGAACATTGTCTATTGAATTGAGGGAACTCTTTAGACAAAAGTCCAGCAATAGCATTAAAACCTGCGAAGCACATGTGCTTTAACTATAGAGCAGTTCAGATGCAGGCAATTCCATATGCAAGACTGAAAACTTCAGCAAAAATAGTGTTTATCAAGTGCTGCGATCTTAGCCGACTTTATACGAATGCATATGCACTGACGTAATTCCGACGTTGTCTTCGAATATAGAAACACTTTAATTTCGTCTCGCAAATTTCTGATTAGATTGATATTTGCAAAGTGTGCCAAGTGTGAAATTCAAGGCAACATTCCGGAGAAGTTTACAATCATACGTGCGACGCTTACGATGCCACAGCGGCACCATATTTACAAGGCTAATCTACGGAGCAAATGTCCGTTCGGAATGTTTTGAAATGCCTTTTGTTGTTGGCGGTCGCGTGCTGTGGAATGCCTCATTCAAAGCGGATGCTTCAAAATTCGATACTTCAGCGCCTTTCGAAATTCTTCGCTTTTAAACTAGGCGAAATAAGTCAAAGTTTTTGTTGAGAAATATATCCTCATGCATATTGCCTGTGTGGTCGCTAGGATTAACATATGATTGCTTGAAGATAAGCTTTATTCAAAGCAGTTGGGGGCTAGCGCCGTTTTCCTTGCTGAAATTATAACAAACCAAGCATTATTTTACTTTGCTTCCAAAGAAAAATAGCCTTACATTGCAAACATTCATGCACTGGAGTTTACACGCATGAATACATTTAGTTGAGAAGCATAATTGCACGTTTTTGTTGTGAGTGTGGCAAAATTCCTCCCACTTCAAAGACTTCAAACTAAGGCCTGTTTTTGACGTCGAACTTTTCATTTACCGAGTCGAATGCAAATGAACTTAAGCGAAGTGAAAGACTTTAGCTCATTAACATTAGGCTCGCCACATGAAAACTTCAACGTCTAAACGTGCCTAAGTTATATTTACGTATACATAGTCGTACGTACTATAGAATTTATACCAAAAGTTTGTTAACCGATTGTTAGCCATATCAAGGCGAGTCTTGCGACTTTGTATCCTATTGTATGCACTCAGCATTGTTTTGAGCGTGGCAAAGAAATACTTCCTATAGTCATCACAAAGCATATTCAAATTCCATAAAGCATAAATCCATATATAGACCAGAATTTATAGCATTACTTCACTATCATATCGATACAAGTGAATGCGAGTTTAGACTGTATAGTAACTTTGTATGTGTCAAAATCACTATCACTTTGCCTTACGACTTCGAGAAAAAAAACCCCTTTGATTTTGAAACAAATTATCTACTTACTATTATTAATAATATTACAACAGCCACACCAGTTTGTTGACGTAATCTCTAAGATGTTCCGAAATCCGGTGTCTGGCAAATTGCAATTTTCAAACACCCGCTTTTTGCAAATAGCTATATAGGAGGTTTTCATCGAAAAATCTCTTAATTATTTTTGTCAACATTGAAAGATGTCGCTTCTATACATCTTCTCTCTGCATGCAAACGTATAAGATAGTAAAGTGTTGACAGCTCAGGTTGAATTCCATTTAATGAACTGAAAGTTCCTATAATTCAGCGGTTTTTAATACAAAGAACTTGGCAGTCGGTGTTTTTCTACAATACTCACGTGCATGTGTCTGGGTTTTACACGTCTAGTCCTCCCCGCTAAACAACCGGACTGTCTTCCGTGTCGAAGTCAACACTATTGCTAGCTACGTTAGGTTATAGGGTTGCTTGCTTCACTTCGACCAGCGACTTTTGATTATTTGACAGAGCTATCCAGTATGATTAATTTAGTTTGCTTTTGGTTTCGTTTTAAAATATACTACCAAATCAATAAGAGATTATCCTCACGTGACTTCCGAAGAAGAACGGCTTGGAACTGTAGAGGTGTCCAGTATAAATCTCCTCCTTTGCACTGGGTCCTATTTTAAACGCCGTTTGAGCGCCTGTTATCGTGAAGCAAATAAGAGCCATAACGTTTAAAAAAGGCCTAGGATATGACTATTACCTGACCTCCAGGAGGTACATCTAATAGAGATATTCAAGTCAGCTTAAAAAGTAAGCTATATAAAGTCAGCTTCGTCAGACCGTTACAAGCTTCTTTCCGTTTTAGTTATTGGACTCGCCTGCATGTGAATTGCATTATAAAACTCTGATCTGGCACATGTTATCATGCTTCATTATGGTCTCAACGAACTAAGATAGGCGGAGTTATCTGAAAACGAATGTTCTAAATTGACCAAATCTGTCGAATTTGCTACCAACGTTTCCCTTCGCAGGGAAGACGAAGATGTCGTGACAAGGAATCCGATATAATCCAAATGAGGCTTTTAAATTTATCTAGCGTGTCCCGATGTAATTTGCGCAAACATTCATGTCGATTTTTTTATTTATATGAATACGGACCCTGGTGATAAACATGCTGACCTGATATTTTATACAATATAATTATTTGTTGAATGTTATTCCAATGCACGGATGGTTCTATTGAAGAAATTGATACCCTGTTGCTAAGGCGTTCGGCGACCCTAATCAGGGTGTACTGGTGAGCTCTCTCTCAGCTCTTGTTTCTCTATACTAGGCTCGTTTACATGCACTTGCGATTTTTGGTGTTTTTGTGCGATTTTCTTTTTTTGGTAAATTTGAGTACATTGACGTTCGGATTAGGTTCACATTACCGCAGGCTGAACGAACCTAAGAAGTAATATATCCATTTCCAAGAAGTATTATTTCATGTATACACTGTAAACCTTGCTTCAAATACGAAGATTTATAGGAAGTATTATTTTCCAGTTCTTGTTTCATAACTGAAAAAATTGTCTAGTGATCGAACAGCGAAAGTTATCAATTCCTTCGCCTCATAGATCTCAAACAACCGCTCTGGTGGTTACATTCGGATGACATCAAAGAAGCATTCATTTTCAACATGGGTGCCTTCGGAGTTCAAAAGCAGTATCGCTAACGAAGTTCTACTTGAACTGATGATGTACATGCGTGACAAAATAGGAGCGATCATCTCCCTTGTACAAACACCGCCAGCAATAGAATACTTCATTGTTCTTCATAGAGATCGCTTTCAAGAAATTTGGAAGCGACGCTACTCAGTCCATCCTACTTCTCGTCCAACACAAATATCATCGGGTTTTTTAAAGATCTAGATCTAAAACAAACATCGATCCTAAAAGCACAACTTCGGATGTTAGTTTCCTGAATAACTGTTATTGTATGTCAGTAAGTAAATCATTTTCAAAAGTACTACCTCTGGTTAAGTATGCTCGACTATAGGCTGTCTCGAACATCCATCATGGAAAAAAATACGCACTAGTTCTGTAAGATCTGTATGGCCAAGCTTTGCCCGGCGACAGTGGCGTAGCCAGCATCGATAATTGGGGGGGCCCATATTCATATATTCATGTTAACAGACTGTAAAGACAATTGATTTGAAAAGAAATTAAACCTGCGTATCACGAATATGTGAATATTGGCCCCCCCAATTATCGTTCTGGCTACGCCACTGCCCGGCGATGAATTGTTTACAGTGTTGGATCATTTTGATCTACACGTGACCATGAGCTTTGCCCGGCAATGAATTGTCTACAATATCAGATATCGTTCTGCATGATCAAGTTTGCCTAGCACTGAATTGTTCGCAGTATCAGATAAATTTAAATGCATCATTGTTCTGTAGGATCTGTATGACCAAGTTTGCCTAGCATTAAATGGTTTGCAATGTCAGATCATTTAAAATGTACCATCGTTCTGTAGGATATGTATGACCAAGTTTGCCTAGTGCTGAATTGTTTGGAATATCAGGTCATTTTAAATGAACCATTGTTCTGTAGGATCTGTATGATAAAGTTTGCCTGGAATAGAGCTGTTTGCAATATGAGATCATTTTAAATGCGCTGGATTAGTACTGGAGGATTTGTATGACCAATTGCTTACATTGCTTACAATATCAGATCCATTTTACACGCACCATAGTTCTGTTGTAAATTCGCCCAGAAATAAGTTGTTTACAGTATCAGGTAATTTTGTAGAGTGTACTAGTTTTGTAAGATTTTCATGTAATCAAGCTTTGCTCAGCAATGAATTGTTTACAATATCAGTATCATTTTACATGCACAAGTTCTGTAAGATCTGCATGACCAAGCTTTGCCCAACAGTGTATTTCTAACAATATCAGGTATAAACTTTGAAGGCCTATGCCAGGGCATGCGCGCACTCATTCTGCGCAACATCGAAGGCGGAAATGTTCGACATTTATTTTATTTGGCACAACAACTGGTCCTTTTGTCCAGGGGCGGATTCAGCCTAACGCACAACCCCCATCAAAAAATTTTCGGATAGATTTATTAGTTATAACGTACTCATTATTGTTATACACTTTATATGCAAGTGCCCGAATGACCTTTGGCCTTAAGAACCCGCACTCACACAGAACATATGTAAATTGTTCGTTTCATATAAACATATATACTCGCGCTTTAACCACTTTTAAATCCTGCGTTATTAAATAGACGTAAACGTAGAATCCCGCTTCGAAATTTCGGCGAAGACGACTCACGAGCGGTCAATAATTCGCTTAATTCGCTCACACAGGCTTAGAATTGATTTGTTCCTTATACTTTGCTTATCACTGATACGACTCGAATAAATTCGACAAAACTCTCAAATTATTCTCTTGAAGGGCAGTTTTTGCTTTTGAGAAAACGTTCTTTTCCATTTTAGACATGTATTTTAAGTAATATTACACACATGCAGGTAGAGACCGTAGGGTCAACAAACACTTTCGGAAAGATAGAAATACTATACTAACTATAATAAACTATAGCTCCGCTGTAATAAGATAATAAAACCATGCAGCCATGTGCGTCATGACCGGGCAGAGAAATAAACCAATAAAAGCCTTGCAAGTATTTGAAAGTAACCAATCATCGAAGGCCTCGCATAGCCGGCCTGCCCGCTACTGTGGCAAACCCCCTAAAATTTGCCCGCAGACCGGTCAAAAAAGTTTGCTTCTATGGCAACGTGAGATTTGACCAATCACAAGTCTCAATTTCGTGGGGGAAAGCCCTGCAAACCGGTCATAAAGACCGCTGTAACACTGCATCATGTTCGGAAACTTTGCTTTGCATCATAATGCAACAGAACAAAACCGAATTATATAAACGGAATAACCCACATATAGTCAAACGGATTCAAACCGAAACCAGCACGAACCGCATAGTTTGAGATAGTGATAGTAATACCATGCTGAATGATAATTAAACAAAGCTAGGCTTTGGGAATTTTACATACATCACTTGACCGGTTTGATGTACGCTGAATCCGCCACTGCTTTTGTCACGGGGCAAGCACTCTCGTGATATCAGTTTAATATAGGTTTGCAAAGATTCGCTATCCAAAATAGCTATCTATAGCTGTGCAAAAATTTCAGGCTAGCAATGAAATATGCATCTACAATATCAAATCACTTTAACGGGCCAACATCATGCAAAAACATGCCCTATTGTAAGTATTAAACTCAATTATTCTGTTTTCAAGAACATATGATCATTCATGAAATGTAACTTGTCAATACTGGTAACCGCAACTCTTGTATCTTGCCCCCCCAAACCAGCGTAATGAATGATGAATCCATGTTAAATGTTTCGATCATTACCGCAATTGCATTGACCGCAATGTTTCTATCGCGAGTGTGTTGCATAGATGTATCAAATCGCAACATTCAAAGATTCATTGTCGATGAAAATAACTCATATGAAAAATATTATGAACACATGCTTGCTATATAAATGTCAACAACAAAAAACGCCAATTTTTTCTTGGAGACGAAACTAATAAAGAAACAATATTTTTGTCAATCATTTAATACAACCATAATTCGATTATTCTAATTCTGGCAAAAAAAAATGATTGAAAACGTTTTTAGCAAACATGTATATTAGCTAGTTATATAAACTTTCACGTTGTGGAAAATCATTATTTAAACCTGTCCAGTTCGGCTTTTCGGTACAGTATAGCTACATAAACATGAACGTGTGTGGTATTGACCGTATAGTTTGCGATGAAATGCTTGCTTTGCTTGTGTTAATGTTTGTACTCAACTTGAATACTTGACCTATATGACTGTTTTTGTTTGGGTTATGCTACTTAGCCTGTATCAATGAATCAGCTGACGAAAAGTACATCTTCGTTCGAACTTGGCCTTGCAAGATGCACCGGAACTCATTCCATTCAAATAAACGTATTTTTTTATGCACATGCAATTCAATCACACAATCCTTTCATAGCTTTTTAACTTCTTGAAAGAGATGTGTAATTGCATCTCAACGGAAATTTGTATCAGCTAAAGCAACCTGTAACAAAGCATGCCGTAAGAAGTTTCCAATGAACAACTCTTTTTTTATTTTCCCAAAGTGAGAAAAGTAGTTTTCAACAAATCATATCACAACTTTTTCCTGTAACTTATTATATACGATGAAAAATTTTTATTATCACGAAAATTTAATCCCTAATCGTAATGCTAACAGGAACACCAACAATGGGCATGCATTATCCGCCATGTCTGTTATTTGGGCACTTTGCATAAGGCAATTCATGAAGTAATATCAATGGGCGTAGATAGGCTACACTAATAGTTCCCGTGACCATCCCAATTTCCTTCTTCGGATATGTGCTCTCGTTGAAACGGAAGGTACTTAGTTTAGGCGTGTAGCCATAGCTATATAAACTCTCATTTCCTGCGTTGATAAGCAGCGAAACTCTCATTGTCCCGTATGTGATGACGCCATTCCGTTTCTACTAGAAAATACCGGCATTTCACGTCAAACCCACGGGGCAAAATCTCGCTGTGACTTGCGAGGATTGCATGTTGGCAGCTGATTCTTGCTCAAGGCGGTTTGCAATTGCCGCCATCTTTGTTGATTTAAAAAACGTGTGCAGAACAAACTTCTTGGCGTTTCGGATTGTTCGCGATTGTAATCGGGTAGCCACTCAATATTCACGATTGCCCTGGTGAGCACATGCAATATAAACACAGGGAAAGTCTAAATCAACTCAGTTGCCTTTAAAAGGAGAAGGTAAACTTTAAACAAAATAATGATACATTGAAACTGCCTTAAATAGGAAGAAACACTTCTTATTTAGTATGACTGATACTAACTCTCCTGACGAAGATCCAAACGTCGAGAAGTGTTTTTATCTATTTTAGGAAGTTTTTATACCACATTTCACTACGCTGCTCTTAGTTATATTGCAACTTAGCCAGTATATTGCAACGTAAACTTTAAAACAAATTATTTGCCAAAACATACAAGATATGTGCAATACCGTTCCAAAGATATATTTTAAATGGCGAGGAGACCACTAAGTTACTATAGAGTCAGCCAAGATGTAAACAGTTTATTGTTTGTTGAATGTTCGGGCGAAATAAACAGTTAAAAAAAGATGGCACTTTTAGAATCGACCATGCAAGATGGCGCGCCTTGTAACAAATCATTACGTCATATGTCAACGATCAACAACATGCCGAGAGGATTTGTGGTGATTTCTCCCACAAGGCGGCAAAGAAGTCAGAATTGTTAAGTTCCTTCAAGAAGATGATTTTACGATTTTAATTTCTAATGCACTTTAACATACAATTGCATCTAATTTCACTCCTAATGCAGTTTTTGACTTCTAATCGCATCTGGTTTTTTATTAGTAAATAGTTCCATACTACGCCCTTCCTAAGTATAGGCTTTAGTGCGATGTTTGCTGGCGTTAATATAGACAAGAATATGTGCAAGTTGTATGTACACACAACCGAAAAAAATAGGACTAATCATAAGGGATCAACAAGGTCTTATTTTCTTTCACCCAGGTCTTAGGGCCTCATATCACAGGCACTTTTGCTCGGCGAAATATTTCCCTTCGCCTGTCTCTTTTGAATTGCGAGCACTTGAAGAAATTAATGCTGCTTGATACAATTCAAAAGAAACAGGCGAAATATTTCTCGCATTTCGCTTGAAAATCAGGGTTTAAGGTAGTGTTTACATGTACTGATGACGGCTAATTTTATTTTGAAGAACCGAATTAGGTGAACATTTTTCGGGGGGTTTAATTCACAAGCGTATAAGCCTGTACATTAGACGAGTAACAATTCGTGGAGAGGTTTTGTCTGTAAACTGTAAGTTCAAGAAATCGAAATTTCATTGCTAATCAAGGAATCATCGAACCGTACGGTGCGGTACTTTATGACGCGGCTGGTCACCAAATATATCAAACTTATTAATTAGGAATTAAATCTGAGCAAAACCGTTCGCCTAACTTTGTCCAGACAAATGAACCGTGTCTGCATAAACACAACAGCTAATTATATGCGATGTTTGACCATGCACTTAAAACTGTATTACGGCATTACACTATTACCACCACATGCGTATAGCTGTTTTTGCGCAGCGTCCCTGAAAATGACAAACTATTCTGGAAATGTCTATAAGAAAAGCTTTGCTCGAGAAATTGGCGAGCGGTGTTGAAAATCGCACCTCAATTTCATTGTTTTATATTCATGACCATATCTGGCGTTTTTGAGGATGTATTTTTAATTCGCGATTGCCCTTTGCGTTGGTTGGAATTTTCCACAAAAATATTGCAACATGTTTGTTAAATAAAAACCATATGTTATTAGCTTAAGGGCTTGTCTAGACTTGCCGCGACCATCTTGTTTAAACTGCCAAGGTTAGGTATGTTTACCGAGCTGAGATTAAAAAAACCCAATTAATTAGCGTCAAGTAGAAATTGAATTTTAGTCGTATAAAGGTAGCTCTCATATGGTTCTAATTTTTCAAGATCTTATACCATCAGGTCGACCCTGTGTCGAATTAATAACGATTGATGCATGCAATGGGCCACGCGGGGTTAAACATTTTAGGCCAAGCGAATGATTAAATCAATGTAGCTCTCGTTTTTGAACAGGAATTACCTCTGCATGAGCTAACCATGCATGCTCAGGCCAGCAATGAAACGAATCCAGTGCCTAATCCCTTGAATTACAGTAAATTAAACTCACAATAAAGAAAGTAGGAACATATACACTTCATTTGCATGATTTCAAAGGCTTGTTTACAGTTACAATTTTCTTCTTCTGATAGATGTGAAAAAGCGAATAATTACGACTGCTCTGATCATATTATCGCTGTTATTTAACCATCTGTAACTAATACACTAATTCACATCTATCAGTAGAAGAGATTCGAGTCTAAAGCCGCAGCAAAAATTGCAAGTGTAAACAGGCTTTAAACCATCAAATGCAAGCTTATACAATGAAAACGTCGCTACCTTTCCCTGATCTAAGAATGTTTAGTGCAGCCATGAATTACGTTCAAGATTAGATCTGTTAAAAGTAGCTCGTGTCAATGGTCGGGGGTATGCAACTAGCTCGGCAAGATCAAACCATACTCAACCGATATCAGAACCTTGCCATCAAGGGCATGCTCAGTATGCACACGCTGTGCGTCATGTGTCGTTAATCAACACCAGTACCCTTTGGCCTCATGAATAACCGAACTGTAATCTCTTTATTTAGGTATGCATATGCCGTCCACAGCACAATTGAGTTCTGCAGACGTGAGCACATCTCAGATGGAGAGGAATAATGACAACGACGGCGCGTCGCTTCACAGCAATCTAGCAAACTTTGTGCTCGACCTACAGACGGATGTACGACTCGAAGATCTACTCGATAATAACGAAAATAAAAGTGTCAACGGCGTGCAAGCGACTCAAAACATTCCTGCAGAGCGAAAAGAGGTTCATATTAAACATTTAAGACATCTCTATCACGCGATTAAGAGCCAACAGAAAGGTGTCATTAATGGACACGAACAGCCGAGCAAGCGAGGACAGGCCGATAATTCCACGGCGTTCTCTCGAAATAAGACGATGAGGAACTCGGAGTTTTTACTTCACGATACTGACTGTTTGGACGAGACGTGGCTAATGAGTTTCGCCTCGCAGCTCGGACTTGACAAGAAAGTGGATCTCCCGGAACTCAATTCCGATCTGATGCAAGAGTTCCTCTAGAATAGAAGACACCAAACGTGTTACAAGGCTTCACAACAAGCGTTTTGCAACATTTCGGTGAATGGGAGCAAATATTGATTCAAAACACACCGAGTATGATAATCTGCTACGGCTAAGCAATGATTGATATATTAAATAAAATCATATTATATAGGTGGTTTTTATAAATCCCAGCGAATGGATCTTATAGGAAGCTTCGTCCTGTTCAAAAATTGTCCAGAAACGACACCCTTTCACAGAGTAGATCTCTTTAACCCGAAACAGCTTTGGAACTCGATAGATTGATTCATTTATGTGTGTAATCATGACTAAATTTTAGATTGAAGTGTCTGTTTGGCTGACCTGGCTTTTAATATGACAACAACATATGTAATGGGGGAACCTAATCATAGCAGAACATCTTTCGTTTGGACTAGCTTGAAGTGTATATATATTATAAATACATGAGTCTAAATTCAGCATAATGTATTAAACTCAGTAAATATATTTAGCACAAATATTCTCCGTGATGTCAATATTGAAAATTACGATCTTGTAGAGCCGGATGTGAAACACTCAAAACCACCCTACGGTATATATTTTGTAGCCCAGAAACGGCGAACACAAGCGATGCCAAGAGTGGAAGAAACTGTTGCAGTAATGGCTGGTCGAGTCACCATGCACGTGTCGGTGTCGGCATTACCTTAGTTGATAAGGAAAATTCTTAAAATTTAATCGCCATATGCAAGCTTAAACTAGCTTTCAGTTTCAGCCCTGAAGTGTAAATATTTTGTCCAGCGAGGCTCGTTAATAATTCATAAATCTAAAGAAAAACAATTTGTTTAATTATATAGTCTCTGGAAATCGGAGTTGGATGTCCATTGGATTTCAAACATAAAAACCTAATGCAAATTCGATATTGCACATATTTGCCTGAGATTAGTTAATGTTTAACCCCTTTTTTCTAGGATCCCGACCTAACCATGGTGATAAATTCTAACTTTTGCCTATATTCTTAATGGCAAAATAAGTTAATAAGTTGCTAATTCAGGGTAATAATATCAAGTGCATTTATTATCAAGTAATTTCAAATACAACTAGAAGCTATTTAAATACCTATAGGGAACTGAACTCTTTTGTCTTTTGAGAGCGAACTCGGCAAAGTGGATTACTTGGAAAATTCCGAACTTGATTTTTTTATAACGTGCATGTATGTATAATTAAGCAGAGTACATTACGTCGTTGTAGAGATTATTAGCGATGAACGAATAAAAAATTTAAGCAAGAGGTTTTAAAGGCGTGCTGCGATAAGCATCAACGTTCTCCCGAATGTTTTTTCTATATCTGACACTTGAAATCACGCCAATTACCTCTTCTATTTATAATTGTCGTCATCATTTACAAGAGTTCAAAATATATGCTCTTCACGTGCTTTACGCATGCGGATTCAAACTGAACAGTGAACTGCTTATGAAATTCGAATTTTGGTATTTGCATTCGGAATGAAAGCAGCTTTCAAATTGCACTCGCTCTACCTCAGAAAGTCAGTTCGATTTAGAACCAATATGTTCGGAAAGGCATTGATAAACCTGTATTCGCTGTAAACACGATGCTATATAGGGTTTCATTAAATGGGGCACAACAAAGTTCCCAATGTTTAGCGCTCAGATTTAATTCCAACAAAAGTTGGCCGCGTGAAGCCTAGTTTGGAAGCAAAAGTGATCTCTAGGTGCAAAATAGCCAGCGTTACCAGCTAAATGTTGGTGCGACGGGCGTTATAATCTAATGGAAGCCCAAAAGGGAAATATTTCACCTAATTTGTCTATCAACGATCTTGTGTTCAGCGGTACACATGTCTTAGAATCTGTTGCATGCTCCAATTGCTGCTGTAATGGAGATGTTGATATTTTAAAGTCGTGCCTATTGTCTATTACGAGGTGGGGGGTTAAAGAAGTGCAAGCTGACTTAAAATCGCCAACTAAAAAAATGGTTAATTGAATTGGCCATTGAGTTGTTGTTCGAGTACATGGAATGAAAACATTCGCTCGCTTCTCCCAGATGTCAGCATACCAATGCCAATATATTTAAAGTCGATAGTATAGTCATCGAAGCAATGTAGCTACCGTAAATAAAGTAATGTAAATATATTAAGGCCAATATATTAATTTCAGTGTATTTGAAGTTTATTAATATGTGTACCACCGCAGGGTTAGATTGGGTGTGACAGTGAAAGCTCGTGGTGTAAACACTTGAAGGAAAACGTGTCAACAAAGTGTTCATTATACTGTACTTATAGCTCGAGGTCTTTACTGATATTGAGAAACGCTTGAACTACAAATATTGCTGGATGACATATCCTATCGAATTCAATTTCCAGATTATGAACTACATTCTAATAAAGCTCGCTCACACTCAAACTCGTTGAATGGGAGATCTCAATCACTTCATCGCGTTATTTTCACTCGATTCAGCTTGATCTTCATTGTTTTACTTTTTGGCTCTATAGATAGTATAGTGGCACCTCTCATGGTAAGAGGCAGGGGGGCAACTTTCCCTTATCCTATAACGTCCCTGATTAGGTCAAATTAGAAATGTACCAAATTTTAAACTACCTAAACTAAGATCTCTTAGTTCATGTTTTGGTAGGCGAAGAGCCAAATATTATTTCTAAGTATTATTTCCTTACGAAATATATACATGTATTCTATAAAATTTGCCATTTTATAAATTTAAACACAATAGCTAGGAGGCTATATTGATAATAAATTAACTAAAAAATTTAACACTAATTAGGATTCCATTTCTATCCAAAAAAGGACGCTATTGCCTGGCTTCAATTCGTATTAGCAAATGCGTTATAATCTTAATAAATTGGTGGTGGGTGAAGTGAATGTGAACTGCTGAGTCATGGAAAAGCAACCCAGTGACACCGACTAGCGCAATCTCACACACAAAAAGATGTTTAGCAACTTTTGGAAGGTGAAACATTAAAATTTGGCACAAACAGAACGCTTAAGACGCTGTTACATTATGCAACTTTCCTTGCACTTTGCCATGAAATGCAGTTCTACTTCTGAGGCATCTAAAGTTGTCAATATACGAAGATTTCTTACGATCTGGTAACGTTCTCAGCATTTCGAGAACTCTTTACTAATTAACATCCTTCAAAATTATAATTGCATTGCAAATTGCAAGGAAAATTTCATAGTGAAATAGCTCCTTGGCAAATATCTTGTAACCACACGCTGGAATGATCACGCACAATTCACAAGACATCACTTGACAGAAATATACTTACCAAATATTGATGCATGTACAGAGATAAGCAGAACTCGACACATTCGTCCTAGTGAGGGTTGTATATGACTACACAAGTAACGACACAAGGACACATAATGTTAATATATTGTTTTAATAGCGAGGCAAAATTTTGGTGGAAAGACAAGTTTCCACCGTTTCTAGAAGTAGACGCGATTTAATAATTAGCCTATTCCTAAATGCAACGCGCAAATTCAATTTTGAGTCTTGATCTATTATCATACACCATTTAATTTCTTCATTTTACTAATAAAAGGAAGTAATGAACGACTAAAGCAGGTCGTACAGTCTTAGATCTTAGATATAGAAGTGAAGCGTAATGGACCCCTTTAAAACTAAATTTGTTGTAAATTTATAGGTTAAGCTTAATTTTCAATTCGAGGAGACAACAGACAATAAAGACCGACAATCAAGAAAATATGCTACGGTCGAATTCCTCCTACATTTGGAAAAAAATCTGGCGGAAAAACTCGTTCGATCAAAAAATTCCGCCAGACGGAAAAACACCCTTAGAAAATCAACATTACGCGGCGATATTTTTCATATTTTTCAATATTTCGTAACGAAACCTTCCAATCTTAGTAATTCTGGGATGCTCTTTCCAGTTGAAGTGATGAACTCCTAAGTTTTAAAATTTAGTTTAAAGGGAGAATGCCTGGTCTGCATTCGGTTACCAATTTACTACATGGTTTCATACCAACTTGTTGCTTCTGAACATTTGATGAAACAGTGAACAGTATTTTATAGTGCTGGCAGTTTGTTGGTTTATTTGTTCATCTCCTAAATCCAAAGTTTGTCCATATTAAAAGTCTATACGCGCATTAATTGGCGTGAATTATAAATACAGTAAGTAATGTACAGTAATGTGTAATCATGTTTTGTTGAATTCCACCATATAGCTACAACAATCCTTCATTCACTCAATCAAGGAGAGATCAAGCAACGAAAATTCACGAGGAATGAATACGACAACGGATTGCTTTCCACCATGACGGAACGAAGATCGCCATCTTTACGAGGATCATTCTGAATCGTAGTTCACGACCTGTTTCGCTCTTCGAGAACCTACAACAACCAGCATCATAGATAAGAGATGGACAGATGTCTATCTCAAGTGTAAAAGTGTGCCAAGGCAGCTATATTCTGGCAAGTGTTATTCGTTATTTTTCATTACGTCATTTCTTTTATCCCCTATTCCCAGTGACTTGTTTTACTAATGTCTTTGCATTTGCGAGATGAAAATTCATTTGAAACTAAATTTATTAATGTTTAGTATAATTACAAATGTGATTATTGAAAATTCTGGCCTCTGATTGGTCGATCGATTTCGGATTATTACGCGATAATCACCAAAGGGGATTTTTCAAAATGGCGGCGAGTTGTTTTTGCCAAAGTGATAGATCAAGAAATACTTTATATTAACGAAAATACTGTACCTGAAAGCACAAAAGAAGTGAAAAAATTAGGCCTAAAATTATTTTCAAGGTAAAAAATTAGTTTGTAGAACACTTTTCAACTTTATTTTGGAGAAAACATTGTTTTATTTGAATCGCCGTAAAGCTGTCCAGATATTTGTTTATGTTTGTAAAATATGTATTTTCTGCAACAGATTTGCTTTCTCAATAAATCACCTTTGTAATTATACTAAAACTCGACTTCGTCTCGGTTTTTATTCAGTTATATTCACCTCGCCAGTCAACGAATTAGCTACTACTAAAATGGCAGAAATGGTCAAATGAACATACGTCACTTTTTAACTGATTTAAATCTATAAAAACTACACAAGGAGTTAATATGGCACCCAAAATCGAATCAATCTTGCAAGACTCCTTATTTAGATGTGTTCTTCGCGCGTAATACCATAGTTTATATACTATATATATTTTATATCTATAATATATACATAGTATATATAAAATATATATAGTATATAAACATGCATACATAATTTTTGCATGCTTCCTGGGCTCCTATGGTAATTTTATACAAAACTTGTACACTTCATGCGGCGATATTTCCCACACTTTTCATGCAGTATCTCCCAACCAAACTTTTCAATTCTTTTTGGGACGCTTTTTCTAGAGGCGGTATTCGTATTTTTTTCTAGTTTTAAATTTAATTTGAAGTGATTTAATTTGAAATCGAAAGATTAGCAAGTGAAAACCCCGTTTACGGTCGATGCTATTTTTTTTTCTATGGGGCGATAAAGTTGTCTGTGCCGGAGTCGGAATTTAGTCTGGCTGGAATCAGCCATTAGTCGCAACAGAGAAGCGTGTACCACGAAAAAAGAGACGTACGTGCTTGTATCTTGTTCTTGTATTTCTCGTGTTTTCTCACAGCAGCATAATATATGAACGTCAGAAAACCAAACAAGCCGCTCAAATACAACACGTTGTAGTTCTTTTGTTTCACTTTATTGCAATTGTATCCTGTCCAATCTCGTCTTGTGTCGTTCATCTACAAGGTGGATAACACGCTTTGTTAAGGAGGGTCACACACTTCGTTAAGGTGGATCACAGGCTTCCCCATTTGCAAGGTGGGTCACACACTTCGACAAGGATACAATCTTAAATGTCTTCCTAATCGATCCTAAATATTTTTTCTATTGCTTCATTGTTCTATTGTATAGTACTCCATAATTTAAGAATATGTTTTTTGTCACTTTTCTTAGGTTATTAAAGTTCTCATTTCCCTTTAAGGTACGTAGGTCGCACACTACGTTAGAGTAAATCACACAGTTTGTTCAGGTGCATCAAAGTTTAATTCAGGTTGGTCAAAGCCTATCAATGGCTAAAGGGTAATGGGGGACACTAACTTGTATTGTTGTTTTTCCATTCACTAGTGCTGGGTAAAAGGGCATCCATCTGAACTGTATGTAAACATTGATTTATATTCTATTTATCGTAAAGCAAAATGAAACAATCCATACCAATGACATGATATCAACACACAATTCATCCTCATCTTTATTGTCTGTTGTCTCCTCTAATATTTCATAGTAAATCTTTCGTAGACTCAGGTAGTGTGGGTTGCACACATCGCAGACACTTCTGTTCGTTGCATTGGGATTCTTAAAGTTCACACAATACAGTTAGGTTGGCAGACAACTCAGTGAATGAAGGTAAGTCAAAATAAATTATTGCAGCTCAATCTTGCAATCAGGGTTGGTAGATTTATGAATAAATAAGCTAACATTTGTTCGCTTTGTTTAAAACAAAGAAGTCGAAGGGCTGCTAAATAAACAAAAATGTTTAGCTTATTTGTTTATATTGATAGAATTTATGTAAAAATATTCTTTAGAAATTAATAACAAGAGCAAAATGAATAACCACCATTGGTTATGTATTCATATATTAAGGTTTCTTTTTTCTTTTGAAATTGATTGTCTTTACTGTCAGTTAACATGAATAAATGAATGTGAGCCAGCCTATTATCAATGTTACACACTGAGTCTGAAGCATATATCTGTACCTGTCAGTCTATCCCCAATTGTAGCACTTATGTGGGTTTTCCTTATGCTATTGTCTTTCCCACCAAACCTGACTTCCATGCAATACATTCTTTTTGCACCAAAGTAAGGCTTGATGATAAAAACAATAGCATACTGTAAAAGTAATGATTTTTATTAACACAGTAAATTGGGTCTTAACCAATAGTAATCAAACCACCTTCTAATCAAAGGTACACTAAGAGTTTATTATACATGAACAATAACAGGCATTTTCACAAACCCTTTTGGAAAACCAACAAAAGCATATCACTTACCATTTCTATGACAGTAAAATTTCTAAAGCAAGATTCGACTTCCCTCTGCTTATGAAAGAACCTATGTGCTTGTTGTGTCATCTTCCATTCAGATTGATAGCATTCTAAAAACAACAATCTTTGGTATTTTGCAGAACTTATAAATATCTTGCCAAGATCTTTTAGGATTTCAGATTGTCAACCTGGGATTGGGTCTCATTAAATCAATGAGGTGTCTTAACTAAAAATCAGTGTAAAATTGTTGCTGAAGGGCTCGACAGTGCATTTTCTACAAATACATAAGCACATGGTTACAGTGCTTGAAACAACTGCTGATCATCTTTCAAAGATTATTTTATGATTGGCAGGAAATCAGGGCACTTCCAAATAAGAAAAGCTTTTGAAGACGCTGCCACGCTGCTCAGTTATATTGAAGTGCATAAGCTCTCAATTTTAGTATTGACATGGAATTTAGCAAGTGGATTTTGACATATACATGAATTTTGTTGACATCTGAATTTCAGACATCTAAATTTCAGTTTTGTTTACATCTGAATAGCACAGCACCAAACATTGAGAGAGAGCTTAATATCATCAAGCTCTGAATGATAGCTGGTCTAATTACAAGTTCTTTGCTATAAGGATTAAGGAACACTTACTATCACAATGCGCAGACTTCCAGATCCCAGTTTGAAAGTCATACACTTTCATAACAACCTGAAATCTCTCTGACCTCACCAAATCAAAAACACAGTGACTGCTATTGAAACCCAGGGGATTTTTCTCGAGCAGCCAGCTGTATTGTCCCGTGCATTCCTCGCACATACGAAGAGGTTTAGCATGTTTAACTATACACAAGTTGAATTTTTGCGTCGCGTTGGCAAACTCTTTCAAAAAGGAAGCACATTCTCTTTTTATATGATTTCCCATACTTTCCCATACATAAGAATTGTTGAAGTAAAGAATGCTTTTCACTTCGTTGGAGCCAGAATGGGAGATGAAAAATATGATTACATTGCATAGCAAAAGAAATTTCGACATTTTGGCTTGAATTTTAGCCCTATTTGTCAGTATATCACAAAAATTGTCAACTGCAAGCTTCCGCCATTATACATTTCAAGCTCCCCCCGGAATATTAGAATTATAGTCATAAAACAGGGGGGGGTTCTAATATATTTTAGTTGACGAAGCTATAAAAAAATGGTGGACTGTATACTTTGCTTTCTAAGAAAAAATCTCGGTTTTCACTTGGAACATGCTCGAAGAATCGGAACCGGATTACTACGACAACCAAACGTACGCTGTTCGTTGCCGTTTATGTCGAAAACAGCTCCTAGTATCAAATAAAATCAAGTTCTCTCACTCTGGAAAGGCTGAACCTTGTGGAAACTGCTTATATCTTAACGACGAATTCCTGCCAGATTGGATCAAAGATGAAATCGGAAACTCGTCATGGACAAAGGGTCGATTGAAGTGCCCAAGAGCAGAGTGCACAGCACGTGTTGGTGGGTTTGACTTTGTACAAGGGTTATTATGTGGCTGTGGTGAGTTTACCATACCTGCAATATGGATTCAGGATGGAAAAGTTGATGTCAAAGCTATAAATAGGAATGATGTCGTGGGAAATGGCCAACCAAATTCTGGGCAGGTTCCAGAATTGGAAAAGAACTTAAATGTTAGTGGTTAGTCCAGGTGATTTTTAGCATTTGATTTATCCTACAGGGTGTTAAAGAAATATCCTTCATTGAAATCCAGGGACAGCTGCCCCCGCTGCCTTTTGCTCTTAGGGATGAGGGGTGGGAGTTCCTGTTCCCCTAACTACCATATAATAGTATAATAATGGTACCATTTGGTACATTTCCCATTTGGTCTTAACTTTCCGTTAATGCTATTTTTAATCATATGTGCCCAGTGCTATTTTTAATCCTATGGCTATGTGCCCAAGAACTCTGGCCCAGTGCTGCCCTAAACTGCTACCAGCACCTCTGTTGAAATCAGATGTTTTGATTTGTGCTGGTGCAGTTATACCTCTTAGCAAGAGCTGCCAGTTAGCTACATTTGGTGGTTGCTAAATGCAAAATTGTGAAGCATGGCCATCACACACCATTGTACCGTAATGTCACTGAGCAAAAAACACATCAAAACGTTCCACTAACCCTGAGAGTTGCCTCTCAGATTCTTCTTACTAAACATAATTGTTATGCTAGGGGATGAAAACAATAGACCTTTTAGCTTTCAAGCGCGATAGTAGTTGATTATCAGGGTCAATTTAAGACTTTGAGTTGTGATTTCACCATGTTCAGGAGCGAATTAGTTTAACAAAGACACAAAAAGAATCGCTAAGGATTTCTTACAAACAGAATCGCTTCTAAGAGTGATATTGAACTCAAAGTTGCTTGATGCCTTGTTAATCAACTACCATCAGGAATTGCGGCTGGAAAGCAAAAGGGGAAAAGTCTATTGAACAGCAAACTTATATCCAAGTTTGTACATCTTTTAATGCATAGAAATATGAACACAATGAGCTAAACATAGAAACTCTCTGGCTTTCTGAGTTTTCTTGATGCTTACATCTCCAAAGCAGTATAGTATATGCGCGCAGTTGTTTAGTTTTGATCGAGTACACAAAATATGCGTACAGATGTATAGACGATTTTGATCGCGCAAAATATGCGTGCAGTCGTTTAGCTTCGATCGAGTACACAGAATATGCGTGCAGTCATTTAACTTTGATCGGCTGCACAGAATTTGCGTACAGTATATGCATACGCTTAAAAAGCGTATATTTCCAAATACCTGGGTATACGCACTATAAAACGCACTATTATTACACTTTTTGTTAACGTAACGTGTCGTTTGCAAAAAAACAGTCCTAATCCGCAGCAAAGTTTTGCGCGAATCTTACGTTAGTCAGACGAAAAGCCACATTTGAAACCGGCGCCTTATGTATTTTACTGTATTACTAAATTTTAAGAGGTCCAATTCTGCGGATGAGGGGGATTCCCTATTCACTAGCAACCTCTGATTCACTAGCAGCTTCCAAACCATACCTATATCCCCCCTCCCTGCACCTAATTTAAATTAGTGTGCAATTGTATGTCCAAATCCCCCAGTGATGACGACATGCACCATTATGCTTTGTTCAGTCCTCTGAGATTGGATGGAGCTGCTAGCAACATGTACGTACATCACTGTATATCTCTATATTGTGTAGATATTGTGTCCCATGCATCAACCTGAAGAGATTAAAGAAACTTGTACAGCCAAGGGCGCTACAACTGATCAAGTTGTATGCACTTGCAGTATGAGTGCAAAAAAACTAAGCAAAATGACTTCAAGGCCATGCCCAGAGTTACTAGCGCGAAGCATGGGAAAGATAAGAACAAACACGAGTAAAATCCATGAATGGACTGGGGCTGTTGATGACATAAATCCGAACACATCAAAACCGAGTTTAGGGTTCCTTAGGAATGCTTCTGGAGAGTCCAGTATCTTTGCAGAGATCAGTGTTGTTGGCAAGCGATCTGATAGTAGGTCTTATACTAATGTACCCGAACACATAACCAAGCCACCTAGAGAGTTGTCTCATAGAAACAGAGGGAAAACGAATGAGGTTTGTTCCGTACAATCTATAAGTCACGAGTATACAGCCTTTATAAGCCCAGCCAAGACTCGCATGGGACCCCAACGTGCAGCTTCAGCTATCAAACAACACAGAACTTCAACAATTCATGGAAAGTCATCTACGCAGCAAAAAGGCTGTGAAACTCATGATGTTGGAAGGAATCCGCCTTGCACAAAACCATCATCGAACAGATTTGGACTTCTAGAAATTGAAGATCAAGTTACGGAAGACCCTTTACAAGTCCATAATTCAAGTCCAGACATTGCAGCGAACCAGTATCATCTCACGTGTGCAGTTTGCTTGGATTATTTCTACCAACCCTACGAATGCCCGTGCAGTCACGTATTCTGCGAGTCATGCTTACGTCAGCTGTATCACAATCGTGCTGGAACTATGAAGTGTCCTATCTGTCGAGAACCTGTCAAATATATCCAACCTGCTAATCGGATTAGAGAAGAGATACGACAGCTTCGAAATTCATCCATGAAGGAAAGGGAACAGTTTGAAAAAACGGCAAAACACAAGAAATGGCCGCTGCCTCCAATTGGTCCTTTTCCATTTCTAAGAAAACGGCAGACGTTGGTACCCTCACAAGACAGAAATCTCGTTATTTTGGCCAGCCTTTTGCTGTTAGCCATTTGCTACACAATGTTGTATATATTGCCATAGTCATAGTATTTTTTATATGAAATAAATATAATATCAAATAGACAATAACCATTGTTGTTTTCGCGATGACGAATTTTAGGGGCCGTACATTAGTTGCATCAAATCTACGACGCGGACGTGAAGTACTCTCGTTATTTCCACAGTTTTACAAAAGAAATAATATCAGACTAAAAAATTAAAGACTTATTTTGGTAAACAAAGTCAGAGCCGTTTTGGAAAGCCGTACTGTTTGTAAAACAAATTAAAAGTGGGTTCCTAACACTAGTGGTTGCTTCAAGTCACTTCGTAGATTTGGTGTCGACCAGGGCCAATCATGGGGGATGGACAATTTAGCCTGGGCCCTAGGCTTCCAGGAATTTTCACAATACTACACAAAAATTTAAGATTTAAACTATTATTGAAAATATCGTCCTCTTTTTAAAAAATTATTAGTATATAATAATAATAATTAATATAATAATTAATAAATAATTTTTTAGGTTTTTTATAGTGCTGGTATTGCAATCTATAATATTTATTAGTACATGTATGACTGCAACGGTAATAATTGAAAATTCTAGCTTCTGATTGGTCGGGCGATCTCCTATTATTAGTTATTACGCCTATTTTTCAAAATGGCGACGAAGTGATAAATAAAGATTCAATCATATAGAAGATGCTGTACCTAAAAGCACAAAAGAACCGAAGGAACTGTGGCTTAAAATTACTTCGAGGTAAAAAAAAGCTACGCCGCAGAATGCTGCGTTTACCTAATTAAGTCGCCGTAAAATTGTCAAAATATTTGTAAATGTTTTGAAAATGTACTTACCACGCAGACCTTCGAAATGTTCTATTTAAACCAGTTTAAAGCTGTTTTGGGCTTTGGGACTTGCTTAATTTCGGACCACTTCGCTGGAATACTACTCCATCGTCAGATGCTTAAATTCACAACGAGGTTTTGAAAAGAGGACCATGCATTTTAACAATATTTCATTAACTTTTAACTTCGCGAAGGTAAAAATGAAAACATTTATTGGCCAAGCCCGCCATTTGAATAAGGAAAGCGTTCTATAATTTTGTCGCGGGTTTCCGTACTTAATTTTTTGCTCTCTGTACCCCTTCCAATGTGCGCTCCTACCAATACGCATTTTAGCTATACCAGCACCTTGTTAGCCTGCGCACAGAAGTAATGTACACGTAAGGGTTAGGGTTAGGGCGTGTACATTACGTCTGTGCGCAGGCTAGCCGCTTGTACACGCATTCACATGTTTAAGCATGTTGATGATATGTGAGATTTACCATTCCATATATGGCAAACGGAATTTACATATAATGCTCATGGTATAAAATATTCTGCGCATAACCTGAGACAGGAAATGATCTCTGACTCCACAGTTGGACTCGCGTGGTTTTGCATGAATGCAAACAAAGTCATTCAAGTTTTCGTCCATTTCTCCGAGAGGCTCTGGCCTTCATCAAAACAGGTGAAGTATTTCTTTACAATTGTCCTATATAAAAAATATCAGCCCTTACCTTGAGCATGCTTTAGTTTAGAGATATTAAGGTCAGTCTGCGATCGTCAACCGCAGCTGATTTTTGGACCGCCGTTGATGCCTTCAATATCACGTATCACAATATAATTCCTGCTACACCATGGTCTATGCTGTTTTATAGCAATTTTTCCGAACTATTTGAAAGCGATTTTCGCCTATTATCATTTCAACTTCAATACTATATAGGGAATGTTTCCGCGAAATTATTAAGAATGAGATTAACATTTGATTGCATGATGTAATTAATGTATCGTTTGTGTAAGCCGGACTCATGCAGGACTATTTCAGGAACTGGTTATTACAATCGACCACTTGTGACAATTTATGTATACGATGTTTTGTATGAATAAATTGAATATGCCAGTACCATCACGCGCCAAGAACTAATTATTAAGGTGAAAGCCAATTTCGTTTATTTTTGTAAACATTTTGAATTAATATATTTCTTAAAATACAATGTGCTGTCTGGCGGTCTAACACTGTTCAGGTTCGATACGCTTCTAAATTAACGTGAACTAGAGCTTCTTTTCAGAAAGAATTTAAAACGTGCGGAATTTTTACTTCAGGGGGTTCTCGCATTGAGGGCAGAACTGATGCGTGAAACGTACTTGACTTTCACTTTAACATAACATACTAATGATATACTACACTGTATACAAACGTTTGTATAATTTGTTGATTCAATGCAGCTCCATATTTGGATGCATTTAGCCTTAATTATGAAAACAAGAGGCAGTTGTGCCAGGTCCAATCCAAGGTGCATTTCCAGTGGCGGCGCCAGGTCTGAAAATTTGGGGGGGCATTTGTGGGGCAAATTAATATTTTGGGGGGGCAAAATCCTTCAAACAGAAATCCATAAACCGGTGTGTAATAGATTACGATGTGTCAACAATTGACAGTCACGCCCATTTTATCCTGTAGCTATTTTGTATTTCAATTTATTACTATTAAATATTATCTTTTACGGCAATAATTTCCGCAGACATTTGAGAAAGGGGGGGCAAAATGGGGGGGCAGATAAAAATATGGGGGGGCATTTGCCCCCCCTTGGCGCCGCCACTGTGCATTTCGCTTACTGTAAGGTCGTCAATGTCTTGTGGGCAACAGTATAGCCTACAATGCGTCGGATTAAGTCCATTGCTCAAACTTTGAAACAGTAAACCTGCCCAAACATGTTTACACTGTTAGAATACATGAAAATATACTTTTATCACAAACACTATTGGGTAAACCATGTTTAGTAATGACATCTAAAAAAATTCGACGGAGCAGAGCGTCCTTTGATAATGTAGATGGAGGTACAAAATCAGTTAAAGTTTAACTCTAAACCTTGAGCCTCTACTCTAAGCCAAGTTAAATTAAGACCGTTTATATTAGAGGTGTTTTCTTAGAAACATGATAGATATACCTCAATGAAAACATTTTATTCAGCAATGGCAGTATATACCCAGCTTTGGCTTTTGGGTAAAACAAAGATTCAAATAGTATTTCAATCTATAGTATTTCAATCTATAGTATTTCAATCTATAGTATTTCAATCTATAGTATTTCAATCTGCATGTATTTACCCAGAAGCTAGAGCCGATCGCCAGCTGTGACTAAAGCCGCGTTTACACTTCAGGCCTAGACAGGTCTAGCGCAAGTCTAGGTAATATGTGCCACGTTCACACTGTCTTCCTTGTTGCTGATATCGGATAGCCAAAGTATACTTTAAGACCCAAAACACGGCGAAAAGTGGTAATACTAGGCCCGTTTACACTACACTCAATTTATTGGCACGGCTATGCTAAACTTGGTATCCGTGCCCCATTTTTGTGGTGTTCGGGCAACCAAAACAAAGCCCGGGCACGGATGAAATGGGCACGGGTACTCATTTTAGCCGTGCCGTGCCGATAAATCGAGTGTAGTGTAAACGGGGCTAAAGGCCAAGCACTGATGAAATGGGCACGGGTACCCATTTTAGCCGTGCCGTTCCAAAAAATCGAGTGTAATGTAAACGGGGCTACTATATGTATCTTTTACAAATTATGCTATTAAGTTCAAAATTTGCCAGGACTAGGTAAAGCCTGTTCCAAATCTTGCCCCGCAGCCCCAGGTCAGGTCCAGGCCACCTTCTGCTATTGGCCGAGGATTTTGTGGCCTAGGCCTGGTCTAGGCTGGATAAACAACGTTCACTGACATCTAGGTCCAGGTCAAAGCACGTAGTGTAAACGCGGCTTAATTCATTTTCCAAGGCTCCAAGCATTGGTCTCGTCAGTCGCGTGGTTGCGCGTCGTTGCCACCCTATTTTGCATTAACAAAGAGTAAAAGAAAGATACCATCTTTTATTTACTCTTTTTTATTAGTCTATTGCTTGAAATATTTGTTTACAAATGCCATGCAGTGTTAAGTTGTTTGGAAACCAAAGTCAAAACTGAAGGCTATTCATATGAAGATTTAATCAAAACTTATAACTGACAAGTGACAACAATACAGTGCCTTGTGTTCAACAGGACGCAGTCAGTGGATACAATTTTATTATCTCTTGCCCGACTAGAATGCATTTCAAACACTAGTGCACTTTGCATGAAAACATGTGTCTCGTGGCAATTTTGACCTGCATGTATTCCTACACGCGCATAAACGTCATATCTTGCGACAAGTCTGCAAACAAGTTGGGTTCGCACAGCTAAACGTTTTACCATTTCCCTTCACACTAGATGTTTTTCCGGTGAACAAAACCGGGGAAAACACAATGACAGAGACGAAGAATGATCAAGACAAAAGCTTGCTTGTTGTGAATGAGTCCAACGACGCTCACGTCATTCTGTACATTTATTCTGGGTGGTCTCCATTTTGCGCAACATCTACTGTTTCGAAGATTATTCAACCAAAACAAAAATATCTTTATCGTGAAAAAACATCATTTAAGTTTCAGCTTGTCGCCAAGTTTAATAATAAAGAGAAAGGAAACGACTTGCAGGCAAAATGCGAGGAAAAGGAGAACGAAGAAGAGAAGGAAGGCGAGGAACAAAATGGAAACGAAGAACATAATGGGAACGAAGCACTAAAGGAAAACAACGAAGAACAAAAGGAAAACGAAGAACAAAAGAAAATCAAAGAACGAAAGAAAATCGAAGAACAACAGGAAAACGAAGAACAAAAGAAAATCGAAGAACAAAAGGAAAACGAAGAACAAAAGAAAAACGAAAAACAAAAGAAAATCGAAGAACAAAAGAAAATCGAAGAACAAAAGAAAATCGAAGAACAAAGGAAAATCGAAGAACAAAAGAAAATCGAAGAACAAAAGAAAATCGAAGAACAAAAGAAAATCGAAGAACAAAAGAAAATCGAAGAACAAAAGAAAAACGAAGAACAAAAGAAAATCGAAGAACAAAAGAAAATCGAAGAACAAAAGAAAAACGAAGAACGAGAGGGAAAAGAGGAACGAATGGAAAACAAGGAACAAGAGGAAAACAAGGAACAAAATGGCAACGAAGAACAAAAGAAAAACGAAGAGCAAAGTGAAACAGGGGAAAGGCATGGAATTGACAAACAGAATGGAAAAGAAGGAAAAGGGAGAAAAGAGGGAAAACTGAAACGAAAGAAAGAAAACCTTCTTGGACCGCTAGAATTATGTGACGATAAATTAATTATGATTACTGAATCACTGAAAGTCAGGCAGGAAAATCTCGCGGATTTCCCAAACGAGAAACGAGTATGTCTTAGAAAAATTAACCGAGAGAAGGAGCTTGGAAATGCAGCTGGCACACTTAGCCTGTACGAAATTCTCAGTTTGGACATGGAAAAAATTCGTAGGTTGGAGAAAGATGCTGCCAATAAAGTAATAGAGAAAGCATTCAAAAACCAAATTAGAATTTGGCATCCTGACAAAAATTTCGGGGATGGCGAGATTGCTATGCAGATCATTTGTGCGAGAGAAATATTATTGGACGATGCGAGACGAGCTCGTTATCACAATGGAGTCGACTATGATAAAGGTTGGTTTTCGTTCAAACGCTGGAAATCAATATTTTGGCCTGAGTGTTGCAGTAAGGAACAAAATGCGGCTTTTTGGCGTAGGATTTGCAAGTCTGCAGTATCTTTAGGATTGGCTGTTGGCGGAGTTGTCTTATCGGCTTGCACTGCTGGAACTGCCGCACCTGTAGTTGCGATGTGTGGGGCGATTTTCGGAGCGGGGTGTACAGTAGGTGGGGGACAATCTTTGATGTACGCTGTTAGTAAAGAGTCCATTGTCGATGGATGCGAGACCAAGAAATGGGCTGAAGAGACAGCAAAGGGCTTCGCCATTGGTGGAATTACTGGAGGTTTCGCGGCAGCATACACTGCAACAACTGCAGCGGCAGAAGTGGCTACTAATCTTGGGGAAAAACCGGTGGAATGCGCGTGTGAAATGGTGAAAACCGGACTGAAACGTATCGCTGGTAACGTAGTGAAGGCAATGCCTTCGAAGATAGCGGGGACTACAACGCAGGGAATAAAACATTTTGCATATGAACGCCTTGACGATTTCGTGGAAAATCAACCTCCTTTAGACCATTTAACGCGTGGAGTAAAGAATCTGATTTGTGATGTTGCTGTTAGTGCTGTTTCAAAAGAGTTTGCTGTGGCGAAAAGAATGATAAAGGGTGAGCCGCATGAAGATTGCCCGAAGATTAGCAATGGCGGCAAGATAGAAGCATGTCTTGAAGCTGACAAAATTTATTACGACCTTCTTAAATCAGGAACAAAGACAGCATTGGAAGGAATGACAGCGCTGATGGAAAATCGTTCAGGTGGATCTGAGAAAAATGGAGATGATTTAAACGACGGAGTTGGAAGTAATGGAGAGCAAAAAGAACCTGAAAAGAAGCGGAATATCTCGCAACCGAGTAATCTGAGTAGAAATGAGACGGAATGTGATGCATTGCATGCAGCAAATAAAGAGGATGGTGAGAGACCTGACAAACAAACTGATCAAACAAAGAAGACCATTTGTGGAGAAGCTGAACGACAGGAACGAATAAACCCAAATGAACAGGGTAGTAAAAAATCCGATGATAAAAAAGGTGATAGACTAAACGAAATGAAATGTAATGTGGTACTAACGGAGAATGCGTTGGTTTTCGTCGAAGATCACTTCGGTGATTCGGAAACTTTCTCCACCTACCAACAAGGCTACAAAACTGATGAGCAAGCTTGTAATCATGTACACTCGACAAATGGTCAGGTAGATGAAGAAGAAATAGATTTTGAATTTTCGCATGGCGGCGTGATTAGGTATATATCTAAAGGTGACTGGTACTCTAGGATGATCGTCGCCTTTATTTCGAAGGGTAAAAGTTGTACAAGAAAAGTGAGCGTTAGAATGAGAGTGTATATTCCCGCAGATGCGACAAATATTGAAGTCAAATTTCAGGTTTCGCGACCACATTGGGGATTCATCAAGAAGTACGACCGTTTTAGCAAGACCTGGTGCCTACCTTACGAGACCCATGTCTTCCGGTATGACAGACCTCCAATACGCACGTTTACTATCAGCGGTAATCTATGGTGGGAGGCAGTCATGACAGTCAGTGATGAATATCATGAAGAAACCAAGGAAATGAGTTGAACACTTTTTACAGACAGAATTCGAACGCAGGAAAGGCAGAAATACACTTTAAGGAAGGTGAACGAATTTTGCACTTGTTATAATCAATACAATCATCCAAAATCCTGCATAAGACGACTTCGAACAATGAAAACGCACTAAATAATTGAATTTTTTTTCTAAAACACTTAATTGGATTTTTTTCTAAAACACCTAATTTTTAAATAAACAAAACGCCGCGTAGACACAGCGAAGTAATCTAAATGTTATTATATACTCAGAATTCAGACAGCACACGTATATTCAAAAAGTATAGACGCTCAAAATCGAAACAAACCGTTGTTGACATACCGACATGACTTGTATTTTAACTTTGGTATATGCTTATATTAAAAACTTTTGTATAACCATATTGCTTATATAACCCTATTAATTGCTCGTAATACGTGTTCGCCAATGGTTTATGTTTTGATAGTAATTTTTCTTGATTGCTTTCATGCCAAATTACTTCGCTTTCCTTTATCAGGAACTGAAAGCGGTCAGACAGGTCGCGTTGTATTTCAATGGAGACAGACTATGGAAGTATTTTAGAGTATTTCAAAAACAATCTGCATTCAAGTATATCGTTATTTACATCTGCATGCAAAGGTCTGAAAATTCATTTTACCGCTTTAATTTTATAAAAAAGTACTGTTATGAGGTCTCACGCTTGTGGTTTTGAGAAAAAGTATCCCAAAAATGGCCGCATATTTGTCATCGTGAGAAAGGCTAATTCACTCCAACTTCACTTTCCTCTTTTATTTGTCTGGGTGCAAAAGGTCATCATATTGTATAATGTATTTCAAAATTATGGGTGTGGTCTAAATTATTTTGAAAATATGAAGTATACAGAGAGAGTTTCGTTATTTCGAGTTCTCCCAAACTCTCACAAGTGTTTCTATAACTATATGTATAGAGACACAGGAAAGATGTTTTCTATTTCTTTAATAATATAACTCAATAAAAAGACTTTGTACAAATATTATAATTCGACTCAATTACAAATTCATATTAGCTACATCGCTTCGCTTGTCAAGTTCGGCGGGAAAATTCCCGTGTTTCTATACAGTTATAGAAACACGCTTCTTGACCAATCAGCACGCGCGTACTATAAATGTTATATTATAAAATTTCATAATTCATTATAACATAACAAGAAAAAGTAATGAGGCAGTCGCTAATGACGTATGCTCTATTCGGTCATGATCCCTTGTACATACTTGTTCTCATTAATCTCATAAGCCTTAACCCAAAGTCGCTTCATATCATAACTGGCTGACCAACACGCAGACTGATAACCTTCTATAACCAGACCAGTGGCGTAGCCAGCCTGACGATTTTGTCCCGCTATGTAGATTTCGAGTTATTATAATTATTCATTTCTTTAGAAATTTATTGTTTTCACAGTCAATGAACACCTAAATATTAGCATAGCGGGACAAATCGGCAGGCTGGCTACGCTACTGAACCAGACTCAGACTGATAGCATCTAAAAACTAAAAAACACTGTTGTATACATTAACAGCTACAAATCCTAATCTAAATGAAATATATAGAGCGAGTTGCACCAAATCTTTTTGAATTGCTATGGTGACATTTCTCCTCAACTGGATTATCATTTCAATCCGTCTACAAGGTAAAATCTGAAACCGTATGCAATCAATAATAGTCCGCTAGTAATGTAGAAGCTTAATTTTAATCAAATCATATTCTGGAGAAGTTCATTACGCACGACAGACGGTATATTTATTGAATCAGATTTTAGTGAGTTTATTTATGTTTATGGTGCAAGGACTTTCTTATTTTAACTGTCTAATAAAGCATTCAACTGAAATCTCCAGTTACATCAAGCTTAGGAAACTTATTTGATGATGTTTTCATCATGACAGAAATTCGTGGAAAGGATAAAGTAAATTAAATAACAAAAACTGTTTAGCACAAGAACTCGTGATCTTGTAGTTAAGACAATGGTCTCTCAAGTGGTAAGTCGATGGTTCCGAATCCAAGCTTGATTATTTCCCATTATGACCTTGAAAAAAGATAAAGTTATTTAAATTTCACAGCCTTTCAGCAGCAGATCTCGTGCTCTGGTGGAGAGGTTAGCGCTCTCCCATGTAGGAAATCGATGGATTGAATTCAAGCTGTTCTTTGTTATCACCTCCGAGTGAAGGCTGAAGTAAATTAAATAACCACAGACGATTGACCACAAGATCCTCGTAGACTAGTTGCGAAGACAATGGTTTTCCACGTGATAAATCGATGAATCGAATCCTAGTATAGCTGCTTTTCATTATGTCCTTCAAGAAAAGGATAAAGTAAATTAAATAACCATAGCCATTCAGCACAAGATTTCGTAGTCTGGTGGTAAAGACAATCGTCTCCCAAGCGGTTAATCGATGGTTCGAATCCCCGTATACCTGTTTTTCATTATGTCCTTCAAGAAAAGGGTAAGTAAATTAAATAACCATAGCCGTTCAGCACAATATCTCGCAGTCTAGTGGCGAAGACAATGGTCTCCCCAATAGTAAATCGCTGGATCGAATCCTAGTATAGCTGTTTTGCATTATTTCCTTCAAGAAAAGGATAAATTAAATTTAAAAACCATAGCCGTCCAGCACAGGATTTCGTAATCTGGTGGTAAAGACAATCGTCTCCCGAGCGGTTGATCCATGGTTCGAAACCCGGTATACCTATTTTTCATTATGTCCTTCAAGAAAAGGATAAGTAAATTTAAAAACCATAGCCGTTCAGCACAAGACCTCGTAGTATAGTGGCGAAGACAATGGTCTCCCAAATGGTAAATCGAAGGATCGAATCCTAGTATAGCTGTTTTTCATTATGTTTTTCAACAAAAGGATAAAGTAAATTACATAACCATTGCCGTTCAGCACAAGACCTCGTAGAATAGTGGCGAAGACAATGGTCTCCCAAGTAGTAAATCGATGGTTCGAATCCTGCCATGACCGTGTTTCATTATGAACTTCGTGAAAAGGATAAAGTAAATTAAATAACCATAACCGCTCAGCGGAAGATCTTGTAGTCTAGTGGTCAAGATGTTGGGTTCAAATCGACAGTCGAAGGTTCGAATCTCGTTTTAGATGGAAATTTTCGTTATTAATATTACATAGTAAGGTTATGGAGAATAAGTTGGTGTAGGCTTCCAACAATCACTTGTTAGCCTTGTGGTAAAGTCGTGGACTATCAAGTACAAGATCGAGGTATCAAGAACAGGATAGTACGCTTCTAATGGCGCTAAAAAAAAGAAATGGTAGGTATGTTGCTCGAGAGAAGTATATATTCGGTTAATATTTGGCAATCAAAGTTAATCTTTAGGGAAATCAGGAGATAGATAGGGTCAATGAGGGGTATATGAGTACAAAAAGACTTAGTAATTGGGCGGGCGGCCTCGGCTCCCGGGGCAGGGGGAGCGCCTCGGCTCCCGGGGCAGGGGGGAGGGTATAGGTGAGAAAACAGTATATAAAATGTTTAAGTCTTTTTGTACTCATTTAAACCTCTTTACCCCTATTTATCCCCTATTTACTCCTATCTATCCCTACTTTTACCTATCCTCATGTATCCCTAACTACCCCCTGACACAATTAAATGTTTGAAGAAAGCTTGCTTTGAAAGTCAGGAAAGCCGGGGGAAAGAGAACCCCCCTCAGTCTACTCCTCGCCCAAGGCGAGGGCATATTTGCCCTCTCGCTCTACTCCTCTCACACTCACAAATTCTCACTTTATTACCTTTTTCTTTTTCGGTTTATCCAGGGCTTGAACCATCGACTGTATACTTGGCAGATCATTGTCTTCACCACTACACCACCAGTTCCTGTGGTGTAAGCCTAGAGTTTTTTATTTTGCTTAATCCTTTTTGGAAAGATCTTTGATGAAATAGAAGAAAAAAATCTTTCCCATGTGGGACTCGAACCTTCGCCATCAAACTCGGAGAGCACTGCCTTATCCAGTAGACCACACGATCTGGCGATGAAGCGCTGTATTTTTTTATATTACTGAATACCTTATGGGTAGGATCTCAAATGAATAACAATTCCCATTATTATGTCTTTAACGTTCATGATTTATTTTCTCGTCGAAAACGCACACAATATTAGCCATTTGTGTTGTCGCTAAAGTAAATTACAGTTGTGCAGTTCTCTAAAGCACCACCTCCCAATTCCCATAAGTTAGTTATATGCGTCCCAGATGAAGCTAATGGTTACGGTGCGATTTTTTTGTATTTTTAATGAAGTGAAGTCAAAGTAAAGTACAAAAATTAACAATGCATTTTAAAAGAAAAAGTACAAGAATTAAGAATAGCCGAATTCATATTAGGGCGGGAAACTCATCTTAGACGGGAAAGTTGATAGTAAAAACCCGTCTGAATATGAATTGGGATATGCCGGATAAGTTTATACGTATGATGGGTCGGGTGATGCGTAATCATTACGATAACAATTGTGTTTATTTTCCGTAGCCTTGTTCCGTCCTTGACCGTGATGATATTTCTGAGTCTATTCTGATTTACTGATCCGTCTAAATGCGAATTTAAGACGAGTTTCTCTTCCAGACGGGATTCCCGTCTAACTTACCCGTCTAAATTTGGACGGAAAAATTTGGACGAGAAACCCGTCTGTGCCTGTGGGTTCCGTCTTCGATGAGTTTCCCGTGTACATAAATAGAAAGCAGTTGCTGTTGTTTACTGCATGCAAAGCATCTCATAATGTCGCAAATATATATTGAAGTGGGATAGGGTAACTCGTATAGTCATGAGGCAACAAGAAAAGAAGTTCAGTTAAAAAGCACAATTTCCGCAGTTAACCGCACTAACAAACAAACAGACAGCAGCTCTACAATATTACAGCAACGATTCATAATTATTAATTTAAAAGTTCTTCGAAGAAACGATTAAGTCAAATAGAGAACAATAGCTTATCGACAAACAATGTGGTCGTCAAGCAGTTGTTAAGACGTTCTTTACTGCAAAGGTTCAAATATTAGTTTAGCGTATTTTATTTTCGACGAACCGGCTGGACGAACCGGCGAGGAACAGTCTTGAAATAAATATTTAATGTCCGTTTAACTGTATATTTGCTTATTTGCAATTTCAGATGTAATGTTTGTTGTCTCATGACTATACGAGTTATATACATTTAGCCGAATTCATATACACGGGAAACTCATCAAAAACGGGAAACTCATCGAAGACGGGAAACTCGTCTGATGTGGACCCCACAGACGGGTTTCTCGTCCGAATTTTTGCGTACAACTTTCCCGTCTAAATTAAGAGACGGGAATTAAGTTAG